ACCTTATCTTCGGTTTCTGAGATATAGATCTTTGAAAAGTTCTACCATTAGACAGAACGTTCATTTCTCTACAAAATGACATATTTTCTACGCTTCTAAGTTAAAGAATGACGAAGTTGAAGTCAATACAGAATTCTTGTACAACAATATCAGTGAAATTACGCATCTTTCAGCCGTTAATCAGCTCTTTTCGAGTTTTTGATGCGATTTCATTTTCCTCAGCTATGTAAACATGGAAGATATGTCATTTTGTAGAGAAATGAACGTTCTGTCTAATGGTATGTTTAAAAGAATTTCGATGTACCTTACAGTTAGTAGGTTTTCTAGAGAAACCGAGATTTCAATGACCTATATCTCAGAAACCGAAGATAAGGTATTGGGATCTCAGTTGATTCATATGTTTCAAAAGGGGTAGAGTCGGAAAATGTGCATTGGGATCAACAAAATGAGGAAAACATACTTAAAAATAGCTTGGGGAACCATCAAAAATCAAATAAGTGACGTAATGCTGGTGAAAGGTGGCTCTCAGCAGGCTTACAAAACAAAAGGAAAACAAAAAATCATATTTCTAGATAGAATTGACCACGAGGAATCTGATGCACATATTACTTCTGAGTTTAGAGTTCGATTCGATGGTGAAAAACCCATTTCAATATGACGGATTTTCATGATTTTCACCATCTTAGACCAAGTACAGTAGAGCAATGCAGCATTTTGAACTTTTTTTAAGTGAGTCATTTTATTCCTTGTGGTCTCTAGTCTATGTCGTAAAACGTTCATGTTTGCCGTTTTTGTCATTTCTGAGACAATTAGGTACGAATTGCGTCTTGGAACCTATAAAATCCTCAAATATCGGACCTTATCAGAACCTCATGCCAATGCTTAAATTTTTTTAAATAAAGCATTCTTATTCAGAATTTAATGCTCTTTCAAATGAGATACGTCGCGATTTTTGCGGCAAAGCTTCATGTAAATGTAGGACAGTTCTGAAAGAATTAACTTAAGCCGATGACCACGCTTCGCCCTAAAAAGGAATAAAAACAACTACCAACGAGATCACCACTGAAATTAGTATCATTAGTTTTACAAGGTGTGAAAATAACACGATTTCAATTGAATAAATTCATTAAATCACGCATGCCAGATGTAAAATTAAGGCAAATAAAAACGGTAAAGTCATGATATACGCAAGCGATACGTAAAGTTACAGTAGAATATTACTGGATTTAGTAAAAGAACAACTTGATAATGCAAATGATGTTAAAGTTTTTATCGTACGTACAATACAGAAAGTCCTCGACACCGATAAAGAGACTTTTGTTAAGACAAGTCGATGTAGAGATAACAACAACAGAAATTGCAGTTGCATTGAAAGCAGCTGGCTTCTAGTTCGAAAAAGTTGAACGTCTGAAAAGACATACAAAGGAAAGGGAAGGAACTATTGTAAAAGTAATGCTTAGCGATGTTAAGAATCGTGATATTCAGACAAGTCTACAATTCGCCACTTTCTTATATGGGCATTTTCTTTCCACTGATTATTTGGACGAAAACCAATGAATGAGCAAATGAATATTCATTGCGACGACCAATATATTATTAGAAAAAAATTATCAAAATAATATGTACAAATAACAGTAAAAACGAAAAAAGATGGCTTTTTGATAGACGTTGAAATATCTCACACTGGCAGCTTTCAAGAACGCTGGAATGTCAATACGATCGTCATCATAACGTTGCCATAATTTCATTAGACATTCATCTGTTAGGACTTTATTTTTTCGAAGTTTTGGAGTTGCAGCTCCCATATCATCTCGTAGTCTTGTAATCGATGCTAGTGGTTGTTCCTTTTGTAGTAAATCAATAGCAATATAAATGTTTGAATGGGGAGAATTTACATGTTTTTTCGATCTATTGGACCAGATTCTTCAATAACTTTACGTTTTAAATTTTTTCGAATCTGCAATATTTCCATATTAGTTTCATCTGTTAAATGTGTATGATCGTCACGTACTACGACTGACAAATCCGAATAACTTGTCGCCGTAGCGTTACACTTCATACATACTCAATACTCTGAATATCTTGATTTTTACGTTTGAGACTGCTCTACTTTCTCATTATTTAGTATCTAGAGTTAGGGAAGCCGTCAAAAATAAATCTACGAGTAGATGTAGATCATAGTCTACGTGTAGATGTAGATCAATATCATTTCCTTTTCTTTTTCTTTCTCTGACTTTGCCGAATGAAAGAAATCGGTTACATTTCTATGTACAGATAGGAACCCTTTTAGAAGCATATTCGTTGCGCAAAAGGTTTCGGCGGCTCGGATGTTGTGTCGGATTTCCTGCGAGTCCCAGAACTGGCACCCGATGACTATTGGTAGCCTTGAAAACGGATGGACTATAGGTAATCGAACATGCTGAGTCTTATGCCAATATTTGTTTTTAGAAAAAGTTCCAACAGTCTACCGAAAAGCGAGTTTTACAAGAATTTGGGTTTCCAGGCTGTTTTCACCTTTTATTAAAAGATTCACTATTCACTCAATAAACATCAGAACTATTTCAGACCTTCAGGATATGGTTAATTTTCTCCGCTAAACATGATTATAAGATCGAAAAAATCGAAAAAGCATATTCGTGTTAATGAGTTTTCCAGAAACCTTTTTGGAAAACCTTAGAGTTTTGTAAAATTTCTTTTGAGATTTAGGATAGACTTACACTTAGACCTTTATTTGACAACAAAAAAGTAAAAAGAACCAATACAATAAACTAAAATCAAAAGAGGTTGTTGTAGGGGAAAAAACAGAAAAAGCGCATACTGTCCTTATTAGACTGTGACCCTTCTAATTTCGACAAAGAAAATAAACGAAAAGAACGAGAGAAAGATAAAGCTCTAAGAAGTTCTTTAGTCTGTGCTTGAACAAACTTGTGCTGTTAGCTGTAACAACGTGCTCTGGTAAGCCATTCCACTCAATTGTCGTTCTGTGAAAAAAGGAATACAGGGTGGTATAGGTCTTGAAAATATCAGCCACCCTTACTGCTATGGAATGGTTTAGCCTGTTAGAATGCCTATTGGTATTATACTGAATAAGATTGAGATCCAAAAGAATGGAATGATTGTGGAGAATCTTACAAAAATGAAGCATCTGAAGTAATTCCGTCTTTTATATAAATCTGATAAATTTAATTTCTCTATTAATTTAGAAACAGAGCCATCAAACTTTTTAAATATAATTCGCGCAGCCAATTTAACAATAGAGTCAATGCGAGAATTATGATAAGGAAATTTAGTGTCGTAAACAACCGAACAATAGTCTAATTTACTTAGAATGCATGCCTTGAAAACAGTTAACCTCACCAGGATCAGTGCATCCTTAAAACTACGGTACATGGCACCTAATCTTCTATGGCAAGCCAGGATAAGATCCTCAGTATGATCTCCCCAATGTAAAATGGTCCTGGATGGACTTTTCAGCTGAGGATAAATTAAGAAATTCAGTCATCATAAAAACCAACGTGACTTACCAGCCAATATGAGCAGGACAGAAAGATAGACAAAAATAGAATAAAAATTTCACGGGAGAACGGAAGGTTCGGCAAGACGAGATCGCAAAATGCGAAGACTTATATTTCCTCTAATTATAAGTCCTTGGGTTGATTGTATACGTGCGTTAAGAAACGTAGTATCACTCTTTTATTAGACTACTCTTTATCACAAACTACAAAAAACTAACTTCACAAACCAAAAACACGTAATATATACATTTAATACTGCATCATAAAAGATGAGAACAGCAAAAGCACAAAGCAAGAAAAGAACAGAAACAGACAACGGACAGAACGAAACAAAAGAGAGTAGCCCTACCGAAAGATCTACATACTAGAAGGAGAGGTTGTGACAAAGAATCGTCACAATGGGAAATCTTAAACAATCTTATATAACAAATGGATGAGATTCCGATAAAAATCTTGTAACATACTGATAAGAGACTGAGACGTTTCTAGTAAGATTCTTATATAAGAATCGATGACTAGGGGAGTGTGGTTTACCTTTAGTGGTTCTGCCGGTGCTTCACCACCTCTGTCACGCATGCCGTTCTCTTGAAGATCAAGTTGAGTAATAGTGTTGCTTACTTTCAGTGCTTCAGCTCTTCTCTCAGGTATTTGCTTCCCTTCAAGATCAAGATGGATCAGAGTGTGGTTTATTTTAAGTGCTTTTGCCAGTGCTTTAGCTCCTTTCTCGGATATTTGGTTCCATCTAAGATCAAGGTGAGTGAGAGTGTGGTTTACTTTTAGCGCTTCTGCCAGTGCTTCACTACCTCTGTCACGCACATCATTCCCTTGAAAATCAAGTTCAATCACAGAGTTATTTAGCTTCAGTGCTTCTGCCAGTGCTTCACCACCTCTGTCGCGCATTTCGTTCTTTGCAAGATCAATTTGAGTGAGAGTGTTGTTCAGTTTTAGTGCTTCCACCAGTCCTTCACCTCCTCTGTCGGATAATCGGTTCCCTTCTAGATCAAGTTTTGTGAGAGTGTTGTTTACTTTCAACTCGTTTGCAAGTATGACAGTGACTTGTTCAAAAGCGTTCTGAGCCGTCGTGTCATCGAAGTTGCCTATTTTCGTACGAAGTGTTAGTGACGATAGTTGAGTCATACGGGACAAATGTGGCACCACGGCTTTGATCACTTGTTCCGGACTGATTGCGAGCAACGATAAGGAACGAAGATTTACCAATGAGTTCTTGGGAAGTTGGACGAAAAACAAGTCAAAGTAACCGGAGGTCTGTTTAGACAGATACAGAGAACGAACTTGTGCCGTTGATGGAAAGTGTTCGCAGATAAAGCTACATCTGGATTTGCTGATGCAATGAAAGTTCAGATCATACTGTACACTGCTAAGTAGTCTATCAAAACGACCGTTTAATCCAAAGAATGAGTAAAGAATGCCATAAGCGTCCAAATACTCGAAGATTTCAAGTACCACTTCATTCGCAAGAAGTCAGCGGTTCTCCACAAGAACTTCATGTTCCTTTCTGACGAAGTCGGTGTTTCTCGACAAGAATGCTCGATTGATTTCTATATATGTTCTATGATGTGTTTTCTGTAAAGAGAAAAGGATTTTTATGTATGTTTAACGGACTTATATTGGTTGCACAAAGGCCATCATATTACGGGTATAGTACATGCAGAAAAAGAACCGAAAAAAATGCTATTTGCTTTTCACTATCGTCGGTGAATTAATGGTCGCAAGGGAACTCTATATTTAACAGGCAATCAATATATTTGACTTTCAGCTACTGTAGAGACACACAATCGCACCCAATATATACACTCTCTTCAGTAGAAAAGAAATACCACTTGTTCGTGTTCTTTTGCGAGACACGACGGATTGGATCTGGTTTGAGCATGCCACGACACGTTCCGACCGGTGTTTAACGGTCTCATCAGGTGGTCTGAATATTCTTCTGTTAGGAACTCGAAGATATTCTGGTGTTGTGAAATAAATTGTTTATTAGAAAAAGAAGAAAAGTAATCAAAAGAAAATCTGTTTTCACTTGTTCAACTAAGATCCAAAAAAAACTTACTATTTTTGCTTTTCTTTT